CCCCCGACATGTCTTTTTGTACCTTGGCCTTCAACATGTTCTCCTTTCTTTGCTTCTGGTCTTCACTTTTGCACCTTTTAAAGTACATAATTTATGTGTTGAGGCTGTGCACAACAAACCTGTTCATTGCACTTTCTTTTAAAACATGTTGTTCAGTTGCTCACTCCATAACTTTCAACATGGAAAGTATCTTCACGGATTGTAGAAATGGCTTCAAATTAGTATACTGAGGGCCATAGAAGTAAACAATAAGGGTGTTATTAAATGTCAGTATAACAATTGTCAGATAGAGACTGCCATAGCCTTATTCTGATTGTACCATGTGAAATCGTTTACGGTTAAAATCTACGAACAAAATGTACCGCTTACGCCAATTACATTTCACTTTTAATATAGATATTTTTACACCCCATCGATACAATGTTTAGATCAACAGTACATTTCCAGCTAGGCTTACTCATCCAGCAATTTAGATCCTGCAACGTTGTAAAATAATTTGCACTTGTTATGCTGTTTTGCGATGACTTTTTGGTTGCTCTTGCTTTTTTCGCTTTGAATTCGAGCTGTCCGTTTCATATTTATTCTCCTGTGCTTTTTGCCGTCTTGACAGAGATAATGGAATTTGGAGATAAGAAAATACTGAAGTGGGTAGACTGTTGTTTGACGAAGCTGTTTCTGTGTGCCTCAGAGATAATACTAAACAGCATAATTTATCATGCCTTTTACGGACGGAAACCAGAAGAGTTCCCTGTGACCCTGGACGTAGAGATAATAAACAGTGGAAGATGTTGAACCACGTTTCGCGTACACGTGTCCAGTGTTGGTAGATGGATCAAGATATGGGTCGGGCTCTGAAATGAGGTTATGTTGAGTTCAAAAACAAGATTTCCCCCTTCAGATGGAAAGTCTAGATATGTGTGAATGTGTATTCTGGTGTTTGTCTATCTGTGCGCGTGTGTGTGAGTGCGTGCACGTTTGTGAGTGACACACATACACACACTCACTGGGACATGCACACACACTCACTGAGACACACACACACACACACACACACACTCACACACACGCACGCACACACACACACACACACACACATACAACCTTACAGGATTAGGCCGTGTAGTCGCAGAAAGCAATATTATACTTTCCTGACGAGGGCCCAATGAACGTTTTGGACAGTGTTGGTTACTGGGTCTCTAGGGAAAGTGTGTCATGAACTTAAACCCCATTGTCAGGGCTTGGAGAGAACGAGTCTTTTCTCTTAACTACAGTTTTAGCCATTGTTATCTTTTCCTTTTCCTTTTTAACCCCCCCCCCAAAAAAAAAGAAAAAAAAAAGAAAAAAGATTCAATACTAAAGGACCGTGTGAACGGGCTCATCCTTTCTTGAACCCTAATAACATTTGATTGGCTGTTAGGTTACTATCATTGTAAGCGGTGACAACGGTGATTGGATAAATGAGCAAGTGTGTGTATTCACCGCATGTAACTTAAGAAGATTCTGAAGCAGTCTTAACGGTTTTAACTGATTATTTCGGTACTTAATTAAGAAACAACCATTTACGATGTAAAAGAGTTGGGTGGGGAGGGGGGGGGGGTTAGGTTCAATCCTCCAGGCACAATCTTGTTAGTCCTGCTCTATGCCCCACCATTGCACATTAAACTCTTACAAGTCGACACATGTAGGTACTGACTAGATGCTGTATACTGATTACTTCTTGTTTTCCTAATGTGTCATAAATACCTGCTTGCCTATGCTTTAGATAGTCTGCGTGTTGTATTACATGTATATATTCATTCTTTAAAATCTAGATTAGCGTTTGTAGCTTGAAACCTGTCCTTTCATGATCAAAATGCTAACCTCGTACTTCGTATTTCAAACTTGACTTGCTGAGACACACAGAAATTAGGTCTACGACTGGTAAGAGCAACGACCCACGAAAGAAGGGCAGCGCTCGTTGCTCAAATCCACAGAGGTCGGGGTGAGGGAAGTCTCTTTGAATATCGTGTAAAACCACATGATCTACGAGACACTTTCTCGTAAAGAAAGTTTGCCAGAATTGATCCTGATATCGGTAACCTTCATGACATAATCGTACAATTAAGTTATCTCCCGTGGGCCGATTTTTTGGTTGCTGTCCTGATTGATAGCGGGTGGCTTGCGGGTGCTCTGGTGTGGTTTGCTCCTTAGTACTTATCAAACATCTGTCGTCCTTATCTCTCTTCCTTCTTTTCTTCGTAAGTTGGTATCTAGTAACACACGTAGTCTTCGGCACTTGTATGACCTAATTGTGCCGTAAAACTCTTACTAAAAGATACAATCAATTCCAAAAGTTCATTTCTTCCTCAGGCACTTACGAAGAAACCCATGGAATTGTCGCCAATAACATGTACGATCCGGTTTACAACGAGACCTTCGGGATGGGAACTACAGACCCCAAGTGGTGGAATGGGTCGGAGCCGATATGGACAACTGCCAAAAAAGCAGGCCTCAAAGTCGGTAAATATCTTTTCTGGCCTCTGAACCTTGTGGAATAATTGTTGTTTATCCATAACTGTTCCCTGGGTTATCACTCGATAGCAGTTTTGAAGGATGCACTACATGTATATGGTTGTAAGGGCAGGACCATTCGTGACCTGACCTGACCATCAATGATTTATTTATAGAGGCACCAGCCATCCATGTCCATGTGCTGTTTTAGCCTCTAAGACCAATCGTCTTAAGTTAAAGGGTGTTATACCAACACACAGATTGGAAACGCATTAGAAACAAGCACTGAAAATAAGTGAAATAATGTTTATATTTTAAACTGTCTACTCACAAAAGAACAAATGGCCAAAAAAGCGCTGAGTGAAAACTACAACAACAACAACAACAACAACAACAACAACAACAACAACAACAAACACTACTACTACTACTACTACTACTACTACTACTACTACTACTACTACTACTACTAATAATAATAATAATTTAAAAAAAATAACTTGTGCATGGCGCAAATTCCCGTTCACCAGCAAGCGTTTTAGAACAGACGGGTGGGTTGCAGTTCTCTTTCCACACTCCTGTGTCACGTACATGGTGGATTGGGCGAGGTCCTCCCGGAAACGTATGTTGAAGACGTAACCGGTGTTGACATTTCGTGAGGTTTTTTTTGTTTGGTTAGTGTTTTACGGCCCTCTCAACTGCATAGGGTCATATGAGCACGCAGGACACATTAAACATTTTCAGTTGGTAGGAAATTTGCATTTTGCCCGGGTGGCGTCCGAAGCCTACTCATATCAATTTCGGACCTCCAAGGGATCTTTAACTTGTACAACTTGCACACGGGACCTCCGAGATTTTTCGCCCTTGTCCGAGAAGGCTAGGTGTAGATCTTTCCTACCAGAAGATCAGGGGTGTGGCTGAAAGAAGGAGCCAAGAATTAGCAGTAGAAAGGCTGCAGAAAGAGTCAGGAGCCCAGAGGAGGGGGGCAAAGGAGGTGAGGGGATGAGGGCAGAAAGTGGAGACCAAAGCAGACGACAGAACATTGCTAGAGAGCCGGAAAGGAGGTGAAAGGAGACAATTTTAGAGAAAAAAAATTTCCGTCGCTATCAGAATTCGAACCCGGGACCTATAGAATGAGAGGCGAGCACCTTAACCTCTAGGCCACGAGAGGCCTCTAATTTTTTTAAAAAGTCAATAAGAACATGCCAATTGCCAAAAAGAAGCCGTTTAGCTCATGCTCTCGAGTCAGTAGCTTTTTCATGTTGTCAACGCAGACGTAAATCTTAGTTGGTGGTTGGCGCGTGCTCTGGTGTGGTTTGCTCCTTCTTTTCTATCAAACATAATAATAAATAATAATTTAAAAAAAAAAAAAAGAGAATAATAGCATTAAAAAAAAAAAAAAAAACTTTCCATGCCCCCCCCCGCACATATAGTATCATTGCTACTCTATTGATATATATATATATATAATCAATGCTTTGAATAGCACATGTCCCTGCTCTATGCGCTTTACACTATATTATTACCCTAGCAGACCATAGACCACTCAGAAACATTCTCAGCTTCCCAGGAAGCATACAGTGCAAGCAGCTGATTAAGCTCTCACACACTAACAAACTGACAAGATCTTTCACTGTCTATAGATGGATAACCGTCCACCCGATATAATAGAGGGGCAGATTTCTCCGTCCCTCGGGTGCAGTATCCGCTTTGCTAAACCAGTGGGCACAAGGCCAGAGGAGAAGCTGAGAACAGATACCACCTTTGATCTTAACCAAAAGGCCGAGAAGTGATAATGGGGTGCTCTTGCTGGGTACCCATCATTCCCACCTGGGTGAAGGGAGGAAATCTCGCGTAAGAGCTTAATGTTTCTTTATGCGCGACAAGATTATTATAAAGAAACCATCTCCTTACATGCGACGCGACGTCCAGTCGCATGCGGCTGTCGCCTGCGATCGGTCCATGAGGCTATCGAGGGTCTTGTCGTGTGTGACGGACAGGAGGTGTGACAGGTTTAGAGCCTCACCATTGGTCAAAATACCTAGCCAAGGAGTGTCGGTCGACACGCCGTGTGTGGTGTGGTGGTGGAAGTGTGTGTGTATATTATGTGTGTGTGTATGTATGTATGTGTGTGTATATGTGAGTGTGTGTGTGTACATGTGTGTGTGTGTTTGTGTGTGTGTGTGTGTGTGTGTGTGTGTGTGTGTGTGTGTGTGTGTGTGTGTGTGTGTGTGTGTGTGCGTAGAATGTTCATCTTCAATTCGACCCAATGCAAGTTTTGTAAATCTTTTCTTGTTTTGTTTTTTTAACGGACAGCAGCAGCAGCAGGAGGAGGAGGAAGAGGAGGAGGAAAATTTACGCGGGATTGGTCATGTGCGGAATAAAAAATGTCAGCGGCTCGTCGAACTCCCATCTGACGGACTTTGTACTTCGTTGTCCATCTTGACATTAAACATTTGCCACTGTCTCTCTTCTGTGAATTGCCAGGTCTAAACGTCGCGTCGCGCATAAGGACACAGTTTTGAGGCTTTTGTCGCCCGCGGCTGAAAATTTTAACGCGTCGCGCATAAATGTCTATCCCAAATACCCAATGTCGGGCCCCTGGCGTGATTTGAACACACGACCTTACGGTTGCAAGTCTGAGAGCCTAACCACTAGGACACGACAATCAATCAATCGTCCTTTCCTCCCCTTTTTTATATTAAGTTTGTTTCTCTCTTGTAACACCTCGCCTAATTTTTGGAACGTATATGACCTAATTATGTGTTGCAAGTTTCTTACTAAAACTTTTAAAAAACTCCAACAAATAAACTGCCAAAAAGAAACTGTTTAGCCTATGCTCTGGAGTCAATACCGGTATCACAGCTTCTTTTTCATATAATCGACGCAGATGTAAATCACAGTCCCGTCTCTTCCATGTCTTTCCTCATGTCAAAGGCGTCTACTTCTGGCCGGGCAGCTCCAGCCCATTCAACGGTCTTCTGCCGGATGAGTGGAGGGACTACAATGATTCAGTAGAGTACGAGCATCGGGTCCGCACAGTGGTCTCGTGGATGTCACGTGACGACTTCGACCTGGCCTTGCTTTACTTCGACGAGCCTGACCACAGTGGACATGCATTAGGACCAGATAACCCCCAGCTAGTCCCTGTCATAGAGAGAATGGACTGTATTTTGGGATTGCTGGTCTCGGAGCTTACAACAGCGGGGATCGTTGTATGTGCTACACGACTCAGGCGCTCTGTCCGCCTTCCCCGTAGCTCCCGCCTCTTCCTCTGTTTCTGTTGTTTTCTCCACATATTTTTTTCTCTAGAGATCTGAAAGCTTATCTGTGTCTGCTTCTCTATCTGTCTGTTGGTCTTGTTTACTCTTTTTGTAAGTATGTACTATGGGTTAACTTTTATTACTCTTTTTTTAAAAGTTGAAGATCAAAGAACGAGAAAAAAGGACACACAAGCTCACCCC